TAATTATTTAACTTGTACATGTAAAAGAACGATGCCTTTGCTGCATTCTGAAGAGTTGTTAACAGAATGGTTAATGTATGTGGGTTTTCTGCCAATCGTAACTCCTCGGTCCCACTCCTCGGGCCTTATCTAGGGAAGGAGACCACAAATGTATTGTTAATTTATACGCCAAGACACCCCCCCCCTTTTCACAAACTTTGAAATAAAAGCATGGATGATGTATATAGACCTATTTTCTGTGGAATATGGAGTTAACTTTATTCAATGTAATGATATTATCTAAAATATACTATAGAAGGGACTTCTAACTCCGTTTTTACTATGAACAGGAAATGTATAATTTTTTAACATCCGATGATGTCGATACATTCGAGTTTGTTTTTCGACCTCTGACGAAAAGACCCGAGATAATGCGATTGACTTTTCTGCAAGTAGATTGATCTTCCCCTGGATCTAAATTTAAAGCTATACCTATTCTGAAATCTTTTGTCAAATCATTCATTGTGAACATTTTAGAGAATGGATATAACTAAATACATATGTTGTAGGAAAGCATTTTCTCCAATGAAGTAAACAGTAGTAGTTTGTCTTTTTTTCTGAAACGTGGGTACTAAATTTTTTTTTTTGAGAACGAAATAAGTAAAACCAACATTTAGGCCTTTGTGGAAAAGAAATCCAAGATTTCGCACAGGTAATTTCTTTCGTCAAATCGTCTGGAACCTGGTTGAACTGCGTCGATCTTTTGTGGTGATTGGACTAGTCCATTAAAATATGGAATAAACCAACAGAGGGGAAACAAATTAGAGAAATCATTTCTTTTGTTTTACATGTCCATATTCTGATACATACGATTCATATGTTGTTTTAAGGAATAAGATATTATTTGTAGATAGTATTTCTGAATCATAAGAAGATGGAGGTTACAATAACAAACTGTATTTAATTCCATGGAAGTTAGCACCGCCATTCATACAATAGAACAATCCAAGAAAAGGCGCGAAGATCGCTTACTCGTGACATTTGGCGCGAAAAGAGCGATTCACCCCTTTTGTAGAATATAAATGGACTGATCCAGTAGTATAGAAATGCAGAAAAAAAGATACACGGACACTTTGAAACGGTAAATCACATGGAATAATCTGTTTCATGCAAACAGAGTAAACAAAGTAAATACTGCATTATTTTGCATCAGTAAAATCATTGTTTCCCTGAAAAAAAGTTTCTTTTAAAATGCAGGTAAAAGATTTCCAATGTAAATCAGCTTGCACAAAATCTAGCTCTCTGGGTATGATCTATTAGTTTCGGATCAAGCAATTATCAATCCTTATACAGCCTGACGCCGTGACGTCAGGCAATAAATATTCTAAACAACGCGTTATCTGATTGGTTCTAAGTTGTCACGTGATCGGGCCGTAAAACTTAATTCATATTTCCCGGCCGTCGGCACGCTTTTCATCATATTCCACCTCTTCGGAACACCTAGTGTATTTTCCAGCAACATACATGTAGTTCTCGTTCCTTGAACGAAAACTCCCGAGAAGTAGACGTCACAATAGCCTGGATGACGTCACAAAACTGATGCTAATGTGTTGAACAATATACATTTATTGCATGATAGTGAGGGAAATATGAAGACTTATTCAGCCAAAAAAATCATATTCCCCGAGGGCTTCGCCCGAGGGGAATATGATATTTCTTGGCTGAATAAGTCTTCATGTTTCCCGAACATTCATGCAATGAATTGTTTATTATACCGAAACAAGCAAAACCTTTGAAATAAACATAAACTTTCAAATTCGGCACCGTTCTCAAAGTCATTTTCAATTTTTACGTAAAGTTACCCTTCAACACATTGTCATCAGTTTTGTGACGTAAACCAGGCTATTGTGACGTCTACTTCTCTCGGAAGTTTTCGTTCAACGAACGAGAACTATATTGCGGGAAAATACACTAGGTGTTCCGAAGAGGTGGAATATGATGAAAAGCGTGCCGACGGCCGGGGAATATGAAGGTTTACGGCCCGATCACGTGATAACTGAGAACCAATCAGATAATGCGTTGTTTAGAATATTTATAATGAGGTATAATAAAGGGTTTTATAGTAACTTTATGTAAAAAATGAAAATGAATTTGAGAGAGGTGCCGAATTGAAAAGTTTATGTTTATTTCAAAGGTTTTGCTTGTTTCGGTATAATAAACAATTTATTGCATGAATGTTCGGGAAACATGAAGACTTATTCAGCCAAGAAATATCATATTCCCCTCGGGCGAAGCCCTCGGGGAGTATGATTGTCTTGGCTGAATAAGTCTTAATTCATATTTCCTTCACTATCATGCAATAAATGTATAATCCCCCCCCCCCCCCCCCCCCCCTCGAATAAAAAAATATAAAAGCTTATAATTTCTCAAAAATAAAAGATTTACCCATTTATGATATCTATATGTCGTTCTATGAAAGCAGATTGTACTTTCTCTTACGTTTGGAGATTGACCATGTACGGTATAATAAAAATACACGTATTATACCTAAACGTAAGAAAAAGTATAATCTGCTGTCATAGACTACTGTACTATAGATATCAAAGATGGGTAAATCTTTTATTATCTGTGTATGCAAGTGCCTGTGGTAAAGAGGGATATAGTTATGTTCACTTATAATTTTTATCATTTAATGTAATTAAAAAAACATGTACAGAATGTATAAATAGCAAAAATCGCAATTTAGTTTACCCGATATGTGCATTTCACCTGAAACTCATTAAAACATGTAAAAACAGTTACTCATTTTTAAAACTTCTTTAAAAATCTTTTCTGTTTCTGTGTATTCTTGTGTAACGAAAAGGCATGTTTTTACGTGATCGGTGTATCAAATTATGCGGTGGTCATACAGCGCAGATTGAAATGCGTTCTTAGCAACAAGAAACACCTGATTCACATCAACGTTATGAAAGCGCTTCAATGCAAACTTTTCGTTCTATCAAAACGTTTAAAAGAGTACGATGAATAACATGCAAGAAAGGTCGAGGTCGTTTATGAAACCCGGCACGTCCGGAAAGAATGGGGAAGGAGGCATCCAACGATGTTAGCGTGGCGAAAGCCACTAAATATTACACAGAAGAGGAAATAAAGCAGCACAACAAACGGGATGATAACTGGCTAATGATCAATGGCAAAGTCTACGACCTCAGCCGCTGGGCAAAGAAGCACCCAGGGGGAGCAAAAATCCTGGGGCACTATGCTGGAGAAGACGCAACGGTAATATACGTTATATTTTTGTCAGCGAAAGCGTGTGATTATAATCTGCACTCTTCATGAGAGAATTTTGCTTGAGAGATTTTTTAACTAGCCATTAAAATAATACTGAACGACAAAAATGTTTTTATGAAAAATTGCATTTAGGCCTAAATAGCTTTATCAATTTTATTTAATAGCATAGTACAGCTATATAGCTTTTTAAAGAGATTGTGCTGGACCTGGCTGTATGACTACGTACTAGGTTGACCATACAAATCATAACAGGATAAGGATTATTCTCTTTAGAGAAGTAGACAGGCTTTTGCCTACATCCTGTCCACTTCTCTGTAGAGAATAGATAAGGATATTATGCTTATGTTAACACTATCACCCCTCCTCCAAAAGTAGCAACAAAAAAATGCTGCATATGGATTGAGGAGATAAATCTGCAGGAATAAAGATTTTGTTATTTGTAGAAGATAAATGTTCATCTTGTTTCCTTTTCCTTATTTTAGGATGCCTGGACTGCATTTCACAATGATAAAGGATATGTATCCAAGTTCATGAAAGCCCTGTACATTGGAGATGTGAAAGACTGGGATGATGTATGTATACTATATACACACTGCAAAACACATTAAAAATATCAAATTGATTCAGAAATTTGACATATTTTCACATTGTTTTTTTTTTTTAAAATGTGTTTAAAAAGTACAGTTGATTTATTGAAGTATAATATCATAATAAATATAAAATTATATGCAAATGTTATGCATCTAAGGATTTATACAGTGTTTATAGTAAACACAGCAAGTCTGGTAAATGATTTGAGAATATGAAACTTTCACATCTAATATGATTTATAACTTCTAAAACCTTTTTCAGATGTTTGATAATGTCTGAAAGTTTCTTATTTCTACCATGTAATCTTGAAATTAAAAATGATTTGTTAAAAAAATTTCAATCATTCTTTTGAAGTGTGAAACAGATCTGAAGAAGGACTTCCGTAAGCTGAGGAAGTATGCAGAAGACAGTGGTCTGATGAAGACTAATCCTGCCTTCTACATCCTCCATCTTCTCCACATTCTAGCCCTAGAGGCCCTAGCCTATTACGTGGAATTTTTCTGGAGCTATTGTGAATTATACATGAAGGAAGTGCATGAAGCATAAGATCCTTTAAAAAAAATTGATACATACAGTTTATGATAGTCCATGATTTTATCTTTATTTTAAGAAAAAGCCTTCCTTGTGGCAGCTGTTCATTTTTGGCAACTGCACAGGTGAAGGGCCACAAGGGGAGATAATTATGAATTAATGAAAATTTCATGGCATTTTTAAAAAATCTTCTTCTCAAGAACCCCTGGGCCAGGAAAGATGAAAATGAAAAAGTCATATTACATTCATTTCTTAATGATGCCTGGATTTACATAGGAGTATATAGGGAAAATCTTTAATCTTCTTCTCAGGAACCATGAAGATGAAACTTATGTGAAAGCATCCTCATGTAGTGTAGATTCCAATTTGTTCAAAATATGGTTAATTATGCATAAACATTAAGAAGTACGGGTACTAGATGTATGTGAATTTAGGAAGAAGAAGCAAATGGTTCATACATAAATATTTGATAGTTACAGATAGTCCGTTATTTTATCTTTATTTTAGGAAATAGTTGCATCTTTTTGTCATGTATTGAAGATTTAAATTTATCAAATCATGGCCCTTTTCCTCTCAAATTTTTGAAGTTATATATAGAAAATGTAATTTCAACTTAAATGTATACAAGACACTATGAATCTTTTTCATTAAATTTCTTTTGTTCACAATGTTAACTTTCTTTTAAATTTAGGCACAAGCAGGCTGGAGCCAGCATGATTATGGTCACATGTCTGTCTTCCCCAGTCACAAGATGAACCATATATTTCATCACATTGTTATAGGGCATATCAAGGTGAGAAAATTACAAGTAATTCTGTAATATGCATAATATTATTTCTTTCTTTGACCTTTCCTTCAAATCTGTTTTTGTCCGTCAGTTTATGTATTTCACAATATTTTTATTTCCAGGCTGCCTCATCTCATTGGTGGAATTTCCGTCATTTTCAGCACCACGCAAAACCAAATGTTATAACGAAGGATCCTGATATAGACATAGCTTACCTCTTCTTGTTAGGAGATTATATACCCAAGTCATGGGGAAAGAAAAAATTAGGCTTTATGCCTTACAACTTTCAACATAGCTATTTCTTTTTCTGTAAGCTTAATTTATAATATAAGAAAAGAGTTCCTTAAATTGGGAGTATAAAAGTGTGTTACTTATAGAATTGTATTGAATTTTCAAAGTGTGAAAGATTGAGTCCCACCACTTTTATTGTCTGATTAATAATCATTATTTTTCAAGTTCAAAGCAAAAGCTTAAATTGTATTGTGATGTCACATCACTCAGACAGTGATGCATTGTACTTAATAAATAAAACGAATTCAGGATGTAATTTTACATTTATTGCTTTCTTTTCAGTGGGGCCACCCCTGCTCTTACCTATTTATTTCCATATAGAAAATATCTTCTTTGTTTTCAAGAGACGAGATTATGTAGTAAGTTCAAAACTCTTTTTTTTATAATTTGCCATTATTTAAGATAGGAACATGATTAAGGAAAGAAAATTACTTTGGAAAAAAATAATCTTTATACTTTGTTGATAGACACAGGTAAGATTTCTGTGTATAAGCACTTGTCTATATTTTGATTAACTTTCCAGGACTTGCTGATGACAGTGACCTTCTTCTACAAGTTTTTCTGGTTATATGGGCCATACTATGGAGGATGGGGAGCGTTTGGACTCTACATGTTCATAAGGTAATTAACTACGAACCAAAGCATATACAGTCAAACCTCATTATCTCAAACTTGATGGAATGTAAACTCTTAATAGATAACAGAGTTAAAATACAGAAGAACAAATGGTGTTTAACTTTTTGGCAACTCATTTTAAAATATCAGTGGTATTCTGGGGGTACGTATCATTACCGCTACATTTTCTAAATTTTCATTACCACTACAGTCATCACCGCTTCAAAAAATTTTACACTGCCGCTACATATAAAAGTATACATTACCACTACATTGCCTAGATCTTTCCTTAGCCAGCCATTTATGCGTGTACAGATTAAAGTACAACATATACATGAACAAGTATTTTCAAGACCTGTTTTCCCTTCTCACCATGGGCAGGTGAAAGTAGGTCTTTGAGAAAGATGTTTTTTTTTTTTTTATTTCATTTCTATTTTATTTGATAAAACACTTTAAAAATTTAAAAAATATAATCAAGCACTGATCACAGATAAAACCCACAGTCTTCTGATTAGAATTAAAATCAAAATTAACTTCACTACATAGTGAGTGAATTCTGTTCATTGGAACTCATACTCAGTACCTTATATGTGCTTGGCAAGTTCAGTATGTGTCGGTAGTGGTTTGTTTTCGGCTGATTCAATATGTAGTGGTAATGAGTTGTTTTCGGCCACAATAATGTAGCAGTAATGATATGTCGAAAATTTGAAAAAATGTAGTGGTAATGAGTTGAAATTTTTGGCGATGTAGTGGTAATGTTGACCTCCCTATTCTGGATATAAATGATTGAGGAACTAAAGTTATGGAGTATTTTATTATTCTTGTGCTCTGTTAACACAGTATCTGCTGTTGTTTTCACTAAAAGCTAAGAGGTTTGTATTATGAAAATGCATCTAATTATGAGATCACTGACAATTTTCAGATTCCTGGAGAGCCATTGGTTCACCTGGGTGACTCAGATGAGTCATCTACCAATGAGAGTGGAGAAAGAAAAAGAAGACGATTGGTTTACACTTCAGCTGGCTACCACATGTAACGTGGACTCCACACCATTCAATGACTGGTTCACAGGTCATCTCAACTTCCAAATCGAGCATCAGTAAGTCTTAATGGTACAACCAAATAAACCTCAGATTCATGAAAATCATTTTCTTAGTTCATTTGTTAGCTGTTGTTGATGTTATGACTTCTTGTTTAACTTCCAAGTTGTACAAATTAAATTTTTTAGCATTATTTTTAACTTCTGGTGTATTTTTTCTCTTTGAAAGTTTGTTTCCAACTATGCCAAGGCACAATTTAGGGAAGATAGCTCCTCTGGTGAAATCTTTATGCAAAAAACACAACATACCCTACAGGTGTTCACCATTGTTCACAGCCTTTGGTGATGTTGTCAGGTAAGATGTTCAATCTAATGAATCTATTCATGCTATCATACACTCGTAAATAGTGTGTGTTATGTAATTGTCTTTAGAATTTTTTTCAACCAAAGTACTCTGCTTAGTATTTTCACAACTTTTATAGATAAAATGAAATAATAGTTCATTTAGAGAAAAAAATCTTTAAAAAAGGGAGGGGGGGTGTTATTATTGGTCATGTATTTTTTTTTCTTGTGGATTAGTTAAGAAGTTCTGAATTGGTGTGATTATCTTTTTAAAGTTGGTATTATGTTTCTTCTTCTTTACTTACAAACTTTTCTAATCCTAGGATGCTCAAAAAGTCAGGAGAGATTTGGTATGAAGCGTACTACCATGGGTAAATCATCGGAAGTCAATAGCATAGCAGGGTAATATTCTGACTTTAACAGTTTATCACTCTACATCATTATCTTAAAGTCTGGACTCAACTGACAATCATGGACTGTGCTTAACTGTGATATTTTCATGCCGAAGGTCTGTACAGAGTTATCCTGATAGAAATGATGGATATACACAAGTTACGGTCCTTTGGTAGCCATACACATGTACCTCTGGCTCTCTTGTTTATGTCTGTGTGTAAATTTGAGTTTATTTGAATGTTTTTTTAATATCTAGTGAAAGAATATGATGTAAGTGAATCATATTTATCCATTGTGAAATTGTGAATCTAATTATTTCAGAAGTATTTGAAAAAGGCAAGTTTAGCTATAAAAATGAATCCTCTATTTTTGGTGAACATGTGCATCTAAAGTCCAAATTAAGATATAAATGTTCAATTTTCTTTTACATGTACACTGTATATGTATATGCAGGTTTTAAAATAGAAAATGATATTCATATCGAATATACATGTATTATTTTTTGTAAAGTACTTTCTTTCCTTTTCTAGTCATAATTTAAATCAAAAAAATTTGTTTATAATAAGAAACTACTTTAATAAGTAATTACGGTTTACTTGTATTTTAGAAAATTCAGGCCTTTCTTTGTTTTTTAAATTTATTTTAATGCACTTAATGTTTATTATTAAATATAGAATTCTGTATCATTATAAAATGAATTTAACTTGTAAATATTTTTTTACTACAAAGTAAATGCCATTTCATAAGTAATTCACATTCAGACTTTGAATGTTTCAAGTATTCTCTGAGGGCATAATATGTATATAGTGTTATATTTTGCAATATATGTTTTTAATTAACGTTATGTCAGAATTAATTATAATGTTTAATATTTTACTTTGTCTCAGCTGAATATTTATGTTTCTGTTTTGCTTTATATAAATTCTTAATAAGAAAGATATTTCTTCTGTTGTTAAATTTTCTGCATTTTTTCCCCTTTATTTTTTATAATATTTTAAAATAAAAATTTATTTTTAACAAAATATCGTTTTATACATGTTGAAAAAAACGGTTAAGGCTTGCAGGGAAATGTAAAACACTATATTCTTTGTTGTGGAGATAAGGATCACTTGCACTGTAGGTCACGCACCATATATCCTTCCTTTTCCGTAAACTGGAAGAGATGACAAAAAAAGTATGAAAGACTTCATGAACAATATGCTATGGTTTTAATGAAGGAAATATTTATTTGGTTAAGGTTTTGGAGATTTTTTTCACATTAATTTATGCAAAATGGTTTCCCAAACTCTTCTTACATTTTGCGCAGTAGCCAAATCGTCTCTTGGAGGAGGATTGGTGATATCCTGTTGTTACGAAATAAGGTTTAGGAATTTTCATTTTTACACTTAGGGTCAAATGGGGGTCAAAAAAGTATTTACGGAGACCTTGTTTCTATAATTAGTGTTTTTCTACCCATTAGCTAAATCGTATTTTAACTAGTTTATTGAGTGTGTCATGTCTATATTTTATTACTTATTAGGTTTTGGAATTTCCATTTTCACCCCTTGGGGGCCAAATCGGGGCAAAATACGATGTTTTTACATCCCCCCACTTTCTGAAGAGAGTTTGGTTATATTGCTGTTATAATTTGCTGTTCACACTTTCTTCATATGTAATACTAAATCTGCATTTTAGCAGTAACACACTAATCTTTTGAAATGTGACAGATGATTTCTGTAGATGTGCATGAAGTTTTGTGTTATTAGCCAAACGGGAATTGAAGAGTTTTGGAATATCCATTTTCATGAGCACTGTGGCTCGGAAAAAGTAGAAATTGGTTTATTATTGAAAAGTTTAAATCCAAAAGTAGTCCCATGACCAATCATGGATTTTCTATTCTTGAGAAGCTAATTTTTAAAGAATTTTACTATATATTTCTATGTAAAACTTTAGTCGGTCATTTTGGCCCCGCCCTACCTCCGGGGGTCATGATTTGAACAAATTTGAATCACACTTTCTATAAATATGATGTTATGGCTTTGCTGTTCTGAAAAAGATTTTTAAAGCTATATACTTAAAAACGCACTAATCTTTTGAAATGTGACAAATGATTTCTATAGATGTGCATGCACAGTTTTAGAAGAAGATTTTTTGCCACCAAATTTTCATTAATTCCCATCTCCCCTTGAAACTAAGAGAATCCCCTTTACCCAAGGATGCTTTGTGGAATTGAAGTGATTTTTTTCACTACAATAAAAGAAAACGGTTCTTAAAACTCCTCTCATATTTTACGGAGTGGCAAGATGGTTATTTTTGTCCTGTAGATCTGTAGATGTACAATATAAGATTTCTAAATTTTCATTGGTGGTGCACTGGTAATATTCAATGAAATTTAGGAATTTTCATTTTCAACCAACGATAAAGTGGATCAAAAACGATATTTTTATTTAACAAAAACCTGGACATATATTCACAAAAATCATATTCATCCTGAAGGTCAAGCAGGTGTTGAAAAGCCATTTTTTTTTATTTTATGAAAAGCCTCTAGTTCCCAGAACTCATTTTATGCAGTAGCCTAATCATCTTTTGCAGGATTACTGGGGTGTCCTGAGGATATGGAATAAGGTTTTGGAATTTTCATTTTAATCATTTGGGCCAAGCTGAGGTCGAAAACCTTTAACAAAAAACTGATTCCCAGAAATTTTTTCACACTACCTAGTGACCATTTCATTGTCTTGCCGAGTAGGGTCATTCAGATGTTTAATATAAGGTATCAGTGTTGGTGCCAAATGGCAATAGAAAATGCTGTTTTTAGTTACAATTTGGGCCGATTAAAAAGAATTTTCTCGAAAATGTAAGAGGAACTGGAGGGATTTTTTTTTAAGAAAGAAGCAAATAAAAAATCATTTGTTTTTAAATTTTCAGTTGGTTTCCTCGAAGAAAATACCTTAGTTTAGGTAAACAGGTTTTTGTAGAACTGAAATTCATAAACCTTGTTGCACATCAACAAGACACTCCCATTTTTATTTTAAAACACGTAATGTTACTGCAAAAATGAAAGAGGGTTTCAAATAAACAGAATTAATGCCAAAAAAAAAAACTTATGTATACTTTTGACTCTTAACGTCACCCCAACACCTTAACTACCGCACATTTACAGACGAGGCCTTCAAATCGACATATATCTGACGATGTAATATCATTTAAGTTTTAACAGTAATTATTTCCATATTTCATCTTCGTCTCAAGCCACGGTTCGGAGTCCGCATGTAGCTCTCTCCTACGAATGGGAAAGGATCGTACATTTTGGCCGTGGTTTGTGACGATGATATTTGACACGATATACATCTGTCTTATACTATATTTTACTCTAATGTTTTTGATAAATGTGAAATGCTTTATGTTTTCAATTGTCGTATATATTTTCGGATTTATCCGTTATTTGAATCAGCAAAGGAGATATACCCTTTCCTCCATGGCATACGATGTTTTATCTTGTTTGTTGATTCGATCTGTATTATTTGAGCATCTCTTCTGTCTCCATATACTGACTAGCGTCAATCATTTTCAAGTACATATATTATATTGTAACTTTTAAATGAATTATTACATACTGAATTGTCGCCGGATTTATCCGTCAATACACGAGTCATGACAAGGAGCACACAAACTTGGTACAAAGCATCCTTGGGTAAAGGGAAATTTCAATCCTCCAAGAAAAGAAAATGGCACCTGATCAAGAACCACGATGTTGAAACTGGAAGTCCGTGTGTACTCTGCTTCTAAAAATCATGTATTGTTTGGGGAATCAAAGTTTTACATAGAAATATATAGGAAAAATCTTGAAAATCTTCTTCTCCATATACAGAAAAGCTGAAACTTATGTGCACACTGGGGTAGTGTCATTTTTCAAAATGTCTAAATTATATATTATATTGTAACTTTTAAATGAATTTCGAATAATAGATCTTTTTTCTCATAAATTGTCTATTTGAATGGAATCTTCACGTTCAAGTAGTAAGTTGCTAAGCCAGTAAATGTGAAAGTTTAAGGGGATTAAACAAAATGGCCCTGGATTCGGAAAAAGATGCCATTATACTTTACTTGTTGTCAGTACTAGTAACATAATGTAAAGTACATATTGGATATCAATTTATGTCCGACTCGGAAAATCTTTGGAAATAACGATTACTGTGACGCGCAATCGACAACATACACTAAAAGATATGTCATACTTTTTTGTTTCTATTTATGTACCCAGTCTGACTAAAACTGGTTTGAAACTGGAGAAGAATGGTTTTGAACTTATAAAACTTTAATGTTTAATGACATGTTCTTTGAAAATATGTCAAACTCTAATTTAAATGTTGTGGAAGCGCTCATGTGAGAGAGACAATATAGAAGAAAGTCAAAACTCGGTCACCTCCAAAATATATTAACAGTTTCTGTATGGATTTAACGAGTCTGGATAAAAGAAATCAAAACATGTTTTCTCTATGTAATCGTATCTTTGTTTTACGAAACGAATCAATTCACAACTATAAAAAGATTCCTTTATATGAAACTAGGTGTTGTTAAAAATATTGTATTATTAAGAGTACACGAAATATATAGAGAGAACGAACAGTATTCAAGCTCAAAAGTCCATAAAACAATACAAAATTGGAGCAAAAAACAAAAACAAAACAAAACACAGACCTCCAAAACATCAGAGGTGGGACCAGGTGCCATGGAGGAGTGAGCATCCCCTGCTGACCGGTCACACCCGCAGTGTGCTCCTTGTCATGATCGGGAAATAACGAAAAAATCCGTCAACATTGCATTGTTTATAAAATAGCCTGACAAATAGTATGAAAAACGACAGTCAGCATTTGACTTAATGATAAATTGTATTTGTTGTCCCCCGCTTGAAAAGTGGGGGATATTAATTTGGATCAAAGAGCCGTCCGTCTGTCCGTCCGAAATTATTGCGTTTAATCCGTCCGTCCGTCCGTCTTTCTGTCTGTCTGTAACGCTTTTTTTATGTCAAACCCTTCGAGCTTTTGCAATGAAATTTAGCATAGCAACTCCCTATGGACTCATAAGAAGACCCCTATTGATTTTGAGGTCAAAAGGTCAAAGGTCAAGGTCATAAATAAGCAAATTTGTCTGTTAAAACACTTTCGTTTCCACACAATATCTCTAGAACTATTTGAGCTTTTGCAATGAAATTTTATATAACAACTCCCTGTGGCCTAATGAAGACCCCTATTGATTTTGAGGTCAAAAGGTCAAAGCTCAAGGTCGTAAATTTATACATTCTGTCTTTGTGTAATACTATTATTTCCGGGCGATATTTCAAGAAGATTTTGAACTTATGCAATGTAATTTTATATCAAAACTCCCTAGGACGTCTCTCACCCCTCTCAAAGTGCTCCGCCCCGTTTGTTTTATTAGTATTTATAGTATTACATGTCGCTATTTTTAGCGCAAGGGCATGAGGAGAGTTATTGCGTATAAAACAGGTTCTCGGCGGACTTTATGTTCTTATTACATCTATTAGAACTGTTTAAGAAAGGCTAAATAAATCAAACACCATGGATTGTGTAAAATTTTATATACCGAACATGAAAACATGAATATATACATGTATGTGACTTCAC